CCCCCTACCCCCACCCATCTAATCAACGGGCGGAATTCAGACCGCCCCGTCAACCGGGGCCCGTCAACCCAACCCGATGACGACTTGCGACCCTCGTTAGCTGCGGCCCGCTATCGCCGGGGCTCTCAGATACTGCAGCGGGCTGGGCAGCGGGCTGGGCAGCGGCCGCGGACGGCGACACGTGACGCTGGCACCCTGGACCTGCAGACCGTCACGGCGGCGGGGGCGACCCCGGAGTCCAAAGAGGTTTGCCGGAGTCGCGGAGGGCTGCGGCCGCGAGCTCCAGCGCCCCTCGCGCGTGCAGGTCTGCGAGGAGGGCGGTCACCGGAGGGCTGTGTGACACCTCCGCTGTGACTCGCCCCCGCCGAGTGTGAGGGCTGTGACAGTGTGACAGCCCCGCCGCGCCGGTGGGCTGACAGTGTGACAGCCCCCGCCGCCCGACGGCAGGCCAGGAAGCGCATGATTCACCACCCCGTATGGACAGCACGCCCCCGTCGACCTGGAGGAGGGCATGCAACCAACAGGGGGACAACCACCACCACCACCACCACCACCACCACCACCACCACCACCACCACCACCACCACCACCATCGCACAAGATTCCTGACGCGGTCCACATTGTTTCCCCGATGCCCGGTGCCACGACTGTACAGATATTTCGAGAAATGACGGCACGGCATTTCGTCTCGGAGAGGTATATTACGGTTTTAGTAAGTTTGAAGGAACTATGGGGGGAAAACGTTCCATGCCACAAACGCACGGGGCGCGGGGTTGGCGACGGTGTCGTATTTCTAGAAACACAGGGAGAAGGGCGGGGGAGCCCCGCAAAGGGTGGTCGTCGTTCGGTGCTCATTAATCACCAGTGTATGACCCCCTCCCCCTCCCCCTCGGTTCCGAGGAACCCTGGGCTTCCTCACATCCGTTGACAACACAATCTCTACGCTCGGCTCAAAAAAAAAAACAACACAGAATCACATTTGGGGAAAAAAGAGTAAAATCCTCTCTTGCACTCACCATGCCATCTTCCATGTCACTGCCTTCAGTGTGCTCCATCTGCTGGTACAGGGGGACCGGTTCTCTGTTTTTGACCCGAATTTTGGTGGCCGGAGGGTGGGTGTCCTGGCACACCCTCTCACACAGACGAAAGAGGTCACCACCAACACTCACACACACTCACTCGCTCACACACACACGCACACACACACTCGGGGTCAGCAGGCCTGCAGCATCGAGGGAGCGCCCACTCGCTCACTCTCCCACCATGGTGACGGGGGTGCGCGTGTATCCAGCACGGAGCACTCGAACAACGACACGGCGGCAATCCAATGCGCACGGCCGGGTAAGCTGGGTTATATCCTTGTGTCCTCACGGCGCGGCGTCGCGGGCGCCAACTCGCGCACAGAAACAACACAAACAACACACACACTTGCAGGGCAGGGGTCGACACACGCAGCGCGCCGATGCACAGCACAGAAAGAGAAGCACACACGACACGCAGACACGTCCGTCTCGGAGCGGACGCAACACCCAAATGCCGCGCGGACGGCCGAGCAGACGACGCTGCCCCCTCCACCGCGCGCGCCGCCTGCCCCCACCACGGCGCCCGGCGGCCACGCGGGCCAATGGCGGCGCGGGGCGGGGCCCGGCCAGCCAGGGCGTGGACGCGCCGGGGGCGGCCGCGGGGGCCGGAGGGGACCGGCGGGGGGATTCCCTTTCCAGCTCGTGTTCTCTTTTTATCGTCGCGAATGAAAAGAGGAAGGGAAGGGAGCGCCGCCGCCGCGAGCTTCCGAGCCGCGGGGCGATCGCGCCCGCCAATGGCAGTCGCGGCGTGGCGCTGCGCGGCGGCCGCGGAGCGCGCGGGGCCCTTCCTGCGCCGCGGTGAGGCCTCCTCCGGCGGCAGCGCGCCGAGCTCCAACCACAGCAGCGTCCTCCCAGGGATCGATCCGAGCTCACTCGATGTTTCATAGCACTACACAACATGCTCTATGTGCATGCATGTGTGCACACTATATTTGCAAACGCCATGAACCGTCACGTAATTTCATGGGAAGCCGTCGTGAAAACCTTCCAGACGTCGCTCAACTTCACGGTCGCGATTCATGCTGCCCCTCGTTTGCGCGCAACATCTCTAGCCGCCCCGCATCAACCCTTCAAAATCCTCTTACTCTCCTGCCCTGCTGTCCACCAGAGGCTCAACGGAGAGCGGAGAACGAAACCGGAAGCGAGCCGAAGCGGAGCAACCGGCGTCCGTCGGAAACCGCGACACGGCCGGCAGAAACGGCAGGTCAAGTAGTTTTTAACCCTTAGCCGAACAGAAGAAGATGAAGAGAGCAAAGCCGTGACCCTCTCCGCTCTACTTCCAGTCTGGACAACAAAATCTCCGAATATCACGTTGGGTTTGGGCGCACTCAGTGCGAGTGAAGGGGGTCGATGGCTTCGCGGCTCCGACGCACATCGCTATGGGCGTCCGGCCCGGCGTCCCCCCCAGGGTCCCCCCCTAGGCGCCCGCGGGCACCTGTCTGCCCCACAACGGGGGCGCTCCTCGCGCCCTGGAATACAGATGAGCCCCTCCCGCATCCTGACGTGCCTTTCTACGCTCGCCGCAGTGCGGATTGCGAGCGCGGGGCGCCGGGGGTGACGGGAGTAGGTTGACGTCGTCGTCGCCCTGCGACGACGTCGCCCCAACGTCGGCCCCCCGCCGACGCTATACGTTTGAGTCCTCCCCCCGTCGCCACATGAGACCGACGCGCGTGCCCGTCGCAGGGGGACGGGGAGGAGGGGGCGGGGGTGGATGAGGGGCGGATGGAGGGGCCGGCTGGACCGTCTGGGGATGCTGAGGCTCCGAGCGCCCGCTCCCTCCTCCTCCTCCTCCCCCAACCCAATCTCCTCCCTGCGCTGGCGGATCTTTCCTTATGATCTGGAGCAGTAGCTGAGGGGTTGGGGGAGGGGAGGGGGGCTTGACTAGCAAACCAGGTGGAGCCCACGTGCTGGGGCCGGGCGGGGGAAGGAGGGGGCGGATA